GTCCGCAGTCCCCCAGGAAGACCATCGCTGCCCCCCAGCAGGGTCTGGGGTTAGAGACACGTTGGCACGTGGTGTGAAATCCAGGATCCTGCCCTGGAGTACACATCGATAGCTTAGCGCTCAGGGGCTTCTCTTTAATTCTATGATTTCTTGCACATTTGAACTACTGATTTAAGCCAAAGCCAGCGAGCAGTAGATTTTCATCCCTGATGCTGCAGCAATGTCCATCAGCTTTTTAATATTTTCTAAGCTGTGTGACGGGAGTGAGAGCTGGGTTTTCAAAGACCTCGACCTCCTGCTGAAAGATTAGGACAGGCTCTTCTTTGAATGCCCCTGCCTTATAGGTAGAGGACTTGGGGGATGACCCCTGTCAGCCTGGTGAGAGGGCAAGAGCGAGAGGCAAAGCCAGTGCCAGTGGTGTTTGGGGGAGCAGCTCGAGTCTGTGGCCAGGAGGGGACAGACGTGGCACTGGGGACAGACGTGGCACTGGGCCTGGTGAGGAGAGGCTCTGAACAAGTGACTCACTGCTCTCTGAAGCCAAAATGTTCCTCTCAAGGAGAGAGGAACTTTCCCAGAAGAAATGTTGGTTCTGGGTCTGGAGTTACTCATTACATGTTGTTCCTGGAAAGGTGCTTGCAATGTTTCAAAGATCTTCTAAATACCAACAGTGATGAGAGGATGCAAACTGCATCAGGAGGGGTTATTACAAGCCTGGGGAGTATGTGTTACCCTTGCTTTTGATTTACTTTTTGCAGTTCTGCATGTTTTGGTTTTGTCTTCCAAGATCTATATTCCCTTCTGTCTCTGTGAGTGAGCTGCAGCTGCCAGCGAGCTGAAAACTGGGAGCAGAGATGAAAATAATTATGGGCAGGGATGGAAATGAAAGTGCTCCCAGGTGGCTTCCTGCCGTTTACATGGCTCGGTCCTGCTTACGAGAGCAGGGGGAGAGAGAGCTCTTAGCTGGTCCCATGCTGTGAGTAAAGTACATCCCTGCCTGCAGGGAGAGAGCTGAGGATACAAATCCGTGCTTCAGAAAGGTGGATTACACAAGGTGGTAACGTTTTTATGAGAGAACTGCTTTCTTACGGCATTTGGGTTGTTGCGCTTATCGGTGTTCACAGTTGCTTCAAAATTAAGTTTCAGTTGTTCGCAAATAAGATGTGTCAGCAGGAAGAAAGGAAGCCAAGGAAAATGGGAATAGCTGGATTAGGCCAGCAAAGGCTCCTGCTGACCATTCTCCATGCAGTGATCAATCCCTCTAGCTCAAAGGAAACCGCAGCAAAGCTTCCAGTGGTGTAGATATTATCTGCTCCCAAAATCAAGCTTGTAGCAGTTTATGTGGTGATGAGCTTGAAATTCTCATTTCCCAGGATGAGAAAAACCATGCCAGTGCCAGGACTGCTCCAGCACTGGTGTTCCCCACATCTGCAGGTGGACCCGGCTGTGGCCCTGCCTGGCACCCCTCGCTCCTCACCACAGGATGCAAACCGCAGGCGCGGTCCAGCGGCCAGCAGAAACGGAGCCATTTTCTGCCATTCAGCCGCTTATAAAATGCAGCGTGTTGCCAAGTCTCATACAAAGAAACTGCAAAATTACCAGCAACCCACTCCTTACTGCTCATTAACCACTTGTTAGCTCTGTAAATGCTTTAGATTGGGCTTCATTTATGTATTTTCATGAATGCTTCTGTTTTTCTTGTCACTGCCAAACCCAGGGTCACACCAGACTCGCTGGAAATCCCTGGTTCCCTCCCCTCGTTGAATTTGCTCCCCCTTTTTTAACAAGCGTGCAGGCAGACGTAACCTGAAGGACAGCGCATGCTGCCGGCGCTTGCAAAAATAGTTACGACGTGTGAATGGGATGGAGCCGCTCTATTTTCTGCTGCCGTGTCTGCAGCAGCAGCACAAAGGCGTTAAGGAGCTGTGGTTGCTGCAGGTGGTGTTGGCAGCGGGGGCTGCTGATCCCCTCCAAGAGACCGCGTGGGCTGTGCTACCTGGCCTGCCATGGCCATCGGCTTGTTGTAAATAATGGCAGTGTATACAGCCACTGAAAATCAGTAGTCGGTATAACAGGGCGTTATGCTGGGACACAGACTATACGCTGACGCAGCCTCTATACACAGAATATACGCAGACACAGTCTCAATACAGTATATAAACATGCCTTCTGCATTGGCCACGTCCAGTCCATCCCAGCTAGGGAATATGTATTTTTGTTTTGCATGAAATGAAAGTCTTAGGAACCACTGATAGAGCTGAATATGGTAAAAGCTTTACAGGGAGAGTGAAGGTTGCTTGTGGCAGGGGAAGGAACCAAACCATATCCAGGCTGTTTAACTTAGAGACCTTCCTCTGACTCTTTGAGAGACCTTTCTCTGGCAATTCTGGTCAGAATTGTTTTTCAATTTCTTAGACACCATCTCAGCTGTCACACTGAAGTTAGGTTGGCTGGGAGCCTGGACCAGGGCTGCGCGCAAGTCCTTTTTTGTCTATAAGATTATTCCTCTCTCATTAGTTCTTTAGTTTTCTGGCACAGACAGTATTATCTATTATCTCTCTCCGATCAGTTGTATCAGATAAAATCCTCCCTGCCCTCCCTCAGGTGAGCTCAGACAGGTCTGGGTGATGGCCAGCAAGAAGCTCAAAGACGTGGAAATGATAACTGGGTTTTGTTTTGCTTGCTTTGTTGCTGAATCTGCTCCAGAGCAGCCCTAGTAACCTCACGAGCTCCCAAAGCAACGGGGGGACCTTCCCCACATGCTCCCAAGTATGGATGGATGGCTGTCCCTGAGACCTGGCCACAGGGTGGGACACCTGGGCTCCCTGGGACACCGGGAACTCTGCCCTGCGCTGCAAATCCCAGCCTGCCTGTGCTCCCAGCCTCCTGGCCCCAAAACCTGCCTATCTGGCCCCAAACCAAAGGTGGGGCAAACCTCCACAGTGTCTTCGGCAGCAGCTGCTGCTCCTGACAACAGCAAAACCTCTTGAGAGGCGGTGAGATCGGGGGCTTTGCTCCGGCTCCCCGAGGGGGTAGAAGCGGCCACCCAGCGCGGGGGAGCGAGCCGTGCTATGCAGCCAGCTTGTACCTTCAGCTGTTTTGTCTTAAAATACCTGCTGGTGTCATTTTTTACATCCCACAGTCTTTACCCCAAGCTGTGTATCTCACCCTTAAATGGAGTTACATTTTTAATTGCTGGCAGAGTATTATTATTAGACGCAAGCCTGCTGCTGATGCGCTGTGTGGCTCTGCAGAGAGCTTGATGAACCTATCTCATCTTGCAGACAAGCGGGGATGAATCATCCCGCTCATCTCCAGCCAATGCACGTCCTAAAATGTGTCTTCTCCCAGTCAGGCTTATTGCTGGGAGTCCCACTTAAGGGAAAAGCCCGCTTGAAAGCTGCTCTCCAGCCCCATTATCCCGCTGAGAGGCGAGGGAGCGCTGCGAGGTGGGCGACTGCGCGGCAGCACTGGCTGCTCACTGCCCATACAGCGAAATGTCAGCCCCGTTTTGGGGAAAATCTGACCAGTTGCTCCACAACTGGGTACTGGTGGTAGCCCATCTCAGGGGACCATGGCACATGCACAGACAGAAGACCTGTCTTCTAACCATGGAGTAGCAAAGAGGCTTCCAGAAATGAGTGTGGATTCATGAGCCCACTGAAGTGGGGATATTTATTTTCCCCCCCTTAGTCTGGACGAGCCACCGGTGTGCTAACCGCAGGGAAAAAACAGGGTGAAGGATTCTTCGGGGAGCCACAGAAGGAAGGTGTGAGGAGCTGTCTGGGCGCAGCCTGGGTCACCCCCGCAGCACGGCGCTTTCTGGAGGTGCTGGGGCTGGAACGACGCAGTGCAAAAGCCAGAGCAACAAAACGCGGCGAGAGCGTGGCTGGGCTGGGGCGCTGGCACGTCACTGGGTTCCCTCTGGGATGATCGTGTCAGCCATTTGGCAAATGTTCCCAGCTGGGCGTTACCTGGTGTTTAAACAGACACGCTTTTCAAAACATAAACTATTGCTGTTTTTCAGATGTACCAGTGTGCGTATCTAGTGGCTTTGGATCCGTCTCTACCAAATAGATTTGTAAAGACTTGGTTATCTGAGGATGCAGACAGAAGCCTAAGCAGGATGCTCAAACGTCATTCTCTTAACAGGAGTTGGCATCCAAGGAGCTTGGAAAATAGGCTTCTGTCTGCCTAAATAATTTTTAAACTCTCGCCTGTACTTACTCAGGGCCCTTTTGTTTAGTTTTGATGGGAGAGAAAGTTCATGCTCGTTGTGAATGAATGCACTACAGAGCCTCCAAGGTAGCCTTTCTGTACATAGTAGTATTAAAGGGGTTTTTTCACCTACCAGGACCAGGAGGTGAAATTATATTTCACAGAAAATAGGGGATTTTCTAACTGTGTCTTCTTTCTGCAAGCTCTTTCAAAGAGCACCTAGGAATTATAGTAGGCAATAAGCTGCTGGACCGGAGCAGTGGGGCTGTAACAAAATGAGGGACAATCGATTGATTAAAGCAACTGACAAGTCTATGAAAGCGCGATCACATCAGTCCACTGAAATTCCGTATCTGAGAGCAAAAGAAAATACTTTTCCAATTCTTAGGAAATGACTTCACTTAGTAATTCATTAGTAACTCAAATGAAGTGTTAAAGTAAATCTTGAGGAAGTGAGTCAGAATCAGAGGACAACTGAAGCCTTCAGCTGGCTGTACTGCAGTTGCTGGGAGCAGCAGCGTTTTGTCCTGTGGTACTACTTCAGCACACGGTCCCTTCACCCTAAGCTCTCCGATGCACTGGTCCCTCCGCACCCTTGGCTGGCAGGGAAGGGAATCCCTGTCGGGAGGGGTCTGCAGCATCTGCAGGGAGGTCAGCTGAGGATGCAGCGTGCCTCTCGTACGCAGCGGTCACACAAGAAGCAAAATCGGGCTTGCACGGTGCTTTTAGGATACAGTTTTATTTGTTTTCTTATCCTTGTTTAAGAAAGATCTTTCGGTAAGCGTGAGCCAGGGGTTTATCTGTGTTTTGCTGGAAGGGCCACCACATGCCAGAGTCTTTTCAAGAATGTGCTTTTTTGCTGTTTACTGAGGCTGCAGTTATAGATGTCGTGGGGGGAGGCTGCAGCCCTTCTCTGCTGGGCTGAGTCATGATGCCAGCCCTTGAATTGCAGAGCCCAAGCCGAGCATGCGGTGTCTCAGCTAAATCTGATTATGAGTAATTTTTTTTGCAGATCACATAAGTGAATTAATTCCCCCTACTTCTGTTTCCCTCACACCAAATGGATCCTATAAATGTTCCAGAGATAAAGCATTGCAGCAACTTCCACATTTTCAAGATTGTGCCCATAGAGTACATTCCTGGAAATCATTTTCTGTTTGCTGCTGCTAAAAATTTTGGGGGTACTCTTCTCCCTAGACCAGGGTTAGATTCTTGCCCTTTTCACAGTCCCATAGGGATGTCTGTTAAGTGCAGAGGATGATGTAGAGCTTTGCAGGATGCAAAAAAGATCTTTTCTATGAATCTTCCAACTGCCCTTAAGCTCAGATGCTGCAGTTTCTACTTTTCTTAATAAGCCTCATTTAAAGCAAGTGCCCATAGGAAAAAAATCTGTCTGGTTACCAGTATATAAAGCTTTTTGGATTAGTAGAGAAGAATTTGGGTTTGAAGAGGCAAAGATCTAATGAACTGAAATCCTTGATCGGGAATGTATGGGAGAGTAAATTACCTTGGAAATGAAAGTGGTGTTGCTACATAGCAGGATAATAAACCTTGTGACGTGACAGGGTGTTGAGATTAGAATATTTCTGACTGTGTAGGAAGAAAAGCAATCTCCTCTTTGCCACAAGAAATGGAAGAAATGGGAATTGTCATGGGTATTATTATCTCTCCTTCTTTGTCTTAAAAATTATTCGAAGTGATGGAACATAATATTGCAGTAAGATAATTACTTTCAGGTCCGGTAAATGCTCCTGTCTAACTGTCACTGTGTTTCTAATTTCTCAGCCTCTCAACATTGCCTACAGTCACATATATAGCTCCTACCGCAATTTTGTGGGGCCACCTCACTTCAAGACGATCTGCAGGCTTCTTGGCTATCAAGGGATTGCAGTGGTCATGGAAGAGCTGCTGAAGATCGTCAAGAGCCTGGTAATTCTGAGCCTAACCCTGGCCATGGAGAAACCTCCAATCCTTGAGAGGCGCAGGTTGGACAGTCAGCCTGGGCTTTGGGTTCAGGGTGTTCACATCTGGGCACCTTCATGTCCCTTGATCCACACTGAGACACTCGTATTAATGGTGTGATTTTCACTGTTGCTGAGGAATCCCACTGACTCCCATGGGATGATGGAGTGTTTCCACCATCTTGGAGTGTTAACTGTGATCAGCCACCTACATCTGGGGGTAGTGGAGTTGGTATGCTGCTTTGCTAAAAGCCATCGAGTCTTTATAAGAGAATTCCTGCTATAGGTGAGTCCTTATTCAAGCCACACTGCCCATTTCCATCAGATATTCAGAAGCCAGGCTGCCAATAGCCCCATCTGCTTTCTAGTTCTCTTCTTTTTCAGGAGAGAAATGTGATGTCCACAGGGAAACGATCCCATGTGCTCCCTAAGGTCACTAACAATACTGAGCGTTAAGAAGGGAGGAGGGAGTGTGCAAAATGTATAATTCTTCGGGTCATGCTTTTCTACTAAAACCCTTGCTTTAATGGAAAGAAGATTTTCATTCATTATAAATATTTAAATTCTGTTTTGACTGCAATGACGTCATTTTGAACTTGTCTAACAAAGCAATGTAAAACTGAAAATCTCAAGCGTATATCGTTTCCCTACTGTAATACACCATAGTTTCTGAAGATGTAATTTGTGTCACTTAGTTGAAAATGCTGTAGCTGGTGTGCGAGATCAGACAACATTCGGCACAAAGATTTTATCTTTTGCTAAATAGAGTTTAGTGCATAATCCCCTATAATGTATCTACAGGATGCAGGTGTGTAACTCCAAATGACAGCAAGCGCTTTTAACTAAGAAATGTACTTTGCTCTTGTCCACATTAGTTCAAAAAATCACATCTGCAGAAACTTGTTCTACATGCCTGTAAATTCTTTTTTTAGTGATCATTCCTCAGGTGGAGGGAGCATTTCCTGTGCTGGGGTATGACTCCTTTTGCAGCTCTGGTGAAATGTTCTTTGGGTTAGGAGCACAAGTCCAGCTGGATCTAAGACTGAGCCTTGTTTGGATTTCAGCTGCAAACAATGCAAACACAGCAAGCTGTATTTTGACATTGAAAATCCATGCAGCTGTGATATATTATTCGGGAGGATGCTGCAGAAGCACTCTTAACTCCATGCACTCAGGCTGAATTTTTTATTTGGTTGAAATCCAAATTAAGGAAGTTCTTCTTGGACACCAGCTGAAGTTTCATCCTGTGCTGTCAGATGTGGACCCGTCCACAACCAGCCCTCTTTCAAAACCAACACCAGGAGAAGCCGTCATTCCAGTTTAACCTCCCTTTCTCTCCGACAGCTACAAGGCACCATCCTGCAGTATGTGAAGACTCTGATCGAAGTAATGCCCAAGATATGCCGCTTGCCAAGACATGAATATGGCTCTCCAGGTGGGTGCTACAATAGATGCTTGAGCAAGAGCTCGCCCACGTGTTGGTACACCATTTACTGAGGCACACACTAGTAACTAAACAAGGTTTGGCACCTGACGTGCCAGTGCAACATGCAGCCAGGCTTGCCGAGACACACGTTCAGCTGCTTTGCTATTGATACCGCAACACGTATAGGGAACTTTTCCAGGAAATCTGTTGGAAATTTCCCTTTGCACACACAGATGACTGTTAAGGGAATGTCATCTGGTAGCTTATGTTTTGTTTTCAGGATTTTGTAAGCTTTTGTTATTGTGGGTTCAATGATATTTTTTGAAAGCTTTACTTAGTTGATGCAAAGATTTTTCACAGCATGACTGCAGTCTGCCATTGAGCTGGATGGGGAAACTGGATGGTGTACGTGAGCCAGCACCAGGACATCCATTACAGTCCTGAATCTCTTTTTTCCTCTGATTAGGAAATCCAAGGACTTCATATGAATTACTCCCTTTTTCTCAAGGGTTACTGAAAGCAGGATGAGACACTGCATACTAGTTGTCCCCAGTGACACTCTCTGTCTATCCAATTAGCAGTTACAGCTTGTAATTTGCAATTAAGGAAACACCAAGCTCTGATTGTCTTTTTATCCAAGTCCTCAGAGGGTGACTCTGCTCTCACTTTTCTGACTGTCCTTCTTGTCTTTTAAGGAATCCTGGAGTTTTTCCACCATCAGCTGAAGGACATCATTGAGTACGCAGAGCTGAAGACCGACGTGTTCCAGAGCCTCAGAGAAGTGGGCAATGCCATTCTCTTCTGCCTCCTTATCGAGCAGGCTTTGGTAAGGCAAAACCCCCTGCACCAACAGATTGTACTTGAAATTACCAGCTCAAGAGCATAAGTGGAAGTGGGTTCTCCAGCAGAAGAGTTTGGGAAATGTTACTTTCCAGCTTCTCGTGTGCTCAGGGTCTCTCTGGGGCTGTGTTACTGGGGTCTACAGGCATGTCCATGGGGATGGTGTGCATTGGTGCTTGGTCACTGACATCTGGGATTGCTGAAGGAGAATCTGAATACTGGAAGATCTAGATTTAATTCTTGGACCCAAAGCTACCCCGTATTTGTCCTTCTCAGAAATAAAATCAAGTGAATCTTATTTGTAGATTGTAAGCTCTTTGGGGCAGGGCTCGTTACTTTTTAATATACATATTTGTATAGTGAGAAGTAGATTTGAGCCCCTTTCTCTTTTGGGGTGTCAGTGCAATGAAATATCGGTTCTAATGGTGATAAGGATAAAGCAGTCCAACAGGAAGGAAAAGCTGATCTTATATTTCCTATGATTTACCTTCACCAAAAACTTAGCTGGAGTGACGACTTGGTGTTACCCCCTGCACAAGTGTTTTGCACATACACAAGTCTCAGCCTCTCAGCTCATGTGATGCCCTTTCTGGTGTGAGGCAAAGGCCATGGCCAAGTGCCACACATCTTAGTTTCTAGTCTTTCATATAATAAACTTACTTTATAACAAATTTATCTTGCAGTTTGGCCTAGAGACAACTGAGGAGTGTTCAACAACACAATTTTGCATTAAAAATGCGTATTTCATGTCATAATGGTTTTGGCAGGGTTGTATCAGTTTTTCCAGAAATATTTCAGAAAGACTTCCCTAGTGTAAGATGAGATTTCAAAGCGACGCCAGAAAGTTTTGTTCAGAACAAAACCAGAAGAAAGTTCAAAGATTCCAAGTTTTATCCAACCATAGAGCACAGGGAAAACTGAAAATCTTTGCATATCCTCCAAATGGTTATTTCTGCCCTTACCTTTGCATTTTAACCCCAGATACAGAGACTTTTAGTTCCTGATATGGTGTATCAAACACATTCAGTGAGCAGTAGTTGCATAAGATTAAGAAAACTAGAGAGATGTGTATCACGTAGCAGCTTGGCTTTATGTTATAGAATGACCAGAGTTGCCACCTATGTCTATCTCAGTGTTGGATTTATGCTGGATGTACTGCGTTTGCCTTTTCCGTCCCATCTTTAAATGGACACTTAAGGGACACATGGTGGTTTCTTTTAGAAATCCTTCATTTCAATGCAAAAAATGTTCCTCCAGTCCCAGGAGCTGTGCATCAGCAGTATAGTGGCATTTTAGAATAGCAGAAAAAAGAAAGAAAAGAAGATGGTGAGAATTTGGGGGTCCCTTTAGGAAGGCTGCCCATCAAAGTCCACGTCTGCCCACTTTCCATGCCAGCCAAAGTCTCGCCCTCTCCGATCACAAATTCTTCCACACGGAAATAGATTCAGAATACAAAGCCATGTTGCACGCAGCAGGCACCGGTTCTTGCTCGCTGGAAGATGTAAGATGCGTAGAGCCATCATGTAACAAGATTTTCCCTCTAATGGAGCTCTTATGCAGCAGAAGCAATTGCTTTTACGGTGCAGTTATCTTCATAGCTGTCAGAATGATCTAAGGCTGCTGGTATTTGCTGACAGAGACTGCTCTAGTGAAGATGTGCAGTCTGCTCCATTCTACCCCCTTTTTGTTTTTTAAATTTGAGGAATGAGGGGGGACTAAATTTCTAAGCAGAATTCTTACTCTCAGGTAATGGGTCTTGGGGAGGAGATCTATTAATAACATGACTAATTTTGGGACAGATAATCAGGTGAATGCAGGCTGCAAATGGTGAAAATACTCTCTTTATCAGAGGGAAACAGCAATGAAAGAACATTCATCTAGGAACGAATAGTATTTTGCAAACAAAATAACCGAGATGATAGGCACACACTGGTAGCATCAGCATCCCTCTACCCATGGAGGGACCCCGGGCTGTTCCTGTCCCTCCAGCGCTGTGTCACAAACTGCACTCCCACAAACTCGCTCTCATCCCAGCATCCATGCTCCAGTACAGCCTCCTGCAGCTCCATGCTACACTGTCCTCTCCCTCTCGGCTGGAAGGTGGGGTATCCACCCCTGCATCCCAGACAGACCCAGCCAAGTCATTCCATCTGGCCCTGAATATCTTCTGCTGTGCTGTCATGACCTGCTTTCGAGTGTGTCTAAATCTCTACAGTAAGCTCAGAACTGAAAGCATGTCCTAGAACTAGACTTTTGTAGGAGCAAACTAATGCCTTGTTGTGACGCAATGCCTCTGTGTTAAACAGCTTTGGTTTCCTCGCTGCTGTTTCCCATTGCAGACTCGTATACAATGTATTGTCAGCCATCGCTCCTCAGTCTCCACCTGCCTATTTCTAGGTTTCTCCTCCTTGTGCATCTGTGTTTGGGATTATTTTTTCTCAAGTGCATCAGCATGCATTCTCTCAGGTGGCATCTCATGATGTTATTCCTCTCTGGACTTCTGTATTATTCTCCCTGGTGCCTGCGCCACTGGGGTTCTGATCTGATAGCACTGGCTGAGAACACCATATGAACAACCAAATTATTTCAGACCAACATATTACGTATCTATTTGCAATAGAGCCACGCATCAGTATATTTTATGTGTACACGTCCTAACATAACTAAGCCAAAGGGTAATTTCCACCTGGGCACTCTGTAAAAATAAACAGCAGGAAGTCATCAGGGTAAGATGAAACTGAAACCTTCGAGTTCTATATCTCTTCTTACCTGCAGTGTTAGTAAGAGGGACAGAAAAGAAATATAAAGCTCTGGCCTTGTACAGGCAGGAAGTAACTTGAGTTATGGAAACTTCCTGGCTTAAGTTGAGAGGTACTTCTTCCAGTTCTAGTTCATTTAGGTTCAAACCGTTAGAGTTACTACTGAGTTGGGTTGGATTTGAATAGGTGCTGTAGACATGAATTGTTGTAGTGTTGCCCAGGTCCCTGAGCCATACACTCAACCCCTGTAGGTATTTTTTAACTTACTTTATCTTTCTTTCTTCCTGCCTCAGTCCCAGGAAGAAGTTTGTGATTTGCTGCATGCTGCTCCCTTCCAAAATATTTTGCCCAGGGTCTACATCAAAGGTAAGAAGCTGAGAGGGAAGCAGTGGACAGACTCAGAGGTCTCTGCCCAGAAGCTGTTTCTCTCCCATTTCTGCTGGGGATTAGTTCTGGCCCTGCTTCCCCCTCGAAATAGATAAGTGGATACAGCCAAAAGTCAGGTGGAAACAAATGCCAAGGGTGCATTTGCAGCCTAGTTACAGACTGAAACCTTAGTCAGTTTGGGGGTTCCCTTAAGGTTTTAAAGCCATTTTGCAGCCTCTTTGAAGAATGACAGCATGAAATGTCCATCTCAAGAGGAGTGATCAGTAACAGGGACATGCTTTTGGACATGTGTGATTAAGCTGCTGCTGAGACTGCAATCGCACATCCCTCCCTTCTCTGCATCACTGGTTCCCTCATTTGCTGTCGGTTTGGCTCACTGATCCAAAGTCTCGTTGGATGGTTGCTGGGGGGCAGCTCTGAGCAAACTCGGCGGAAATTGCGGGTCTCCACTTCCTCCTCTCATTTCACTGTTTGCTGCTCGCTTGACAGAAGGAGAACGCTTGGAGGTGCGCATGAAGCGTCTCGAAGCCAAGTATGCCCCACTTCACCTGGTTCCCTTAATAGAGAGGCTGGGCACTCCGCAGGTAAGGATTTCATTGAAAGGGATGGCTGTTGAAAATTCATAGCAGTTCCCAGATGGCCTGTTTGGCCATGGGAAAGGGATTTTTTTTTAATTTATTTTTATTTTTTCAAAAAAACCCATCAATCAGACAAGAAAATCAGCATCCTTGCCCTAGCAGACACTTTGAAGGGAAATTTGTGAGCGGGTCCAGAGATGATGTGTTGGTGCCTCCAGTCTGGAGAGCTGGCGGGGAGCTGTAAGGCAAGCATGCTAGAAGCCAGGTCAATATGAACAGCTTTGAAAAACTCTTTCCTCTTCATTTTAAAAAGATGGAAAATTGCTGGGGTGGTTCAAGGGGAAACTTTGCAGGGCTGTCCCTGACTCAACCAATTGCCATCGCTTTTGGGGTCCCATTTTAGGGCTGCAGCGTGGTATATTTTTAAGCTCATCCCTGTCAAGGAATACATCTGAGAATGGTTTCCCTCCTAGCACATGCTTAGAGCTTCAGCACATGCTTAAAATTACAGCTCCATTTAAGTGTCTTCTTGAGGTGGGGCTCAGCTTGGAAAAGATCTTTCTTGTGCAGAAATTGAGTACCGTTAAAAGTATCTCCGTAGAATGATCAATGTGATGGGCAAAATTTGAGCTCCATTGATATCAATAGCCAAACTTCCACTGCCTGCTTAGTGGGGTTGATGGGATAAAAATAATTCAAAGTATTAATGAATCAACACCCTTTTTCTATAACCTACTGCCAAGGGAATGGAACACACACGCAGTTATATGAGGTGACAGATCTATGGCAGGCAGAGAGTTGTTAATTTTTTTTCTTGTTTTTCTGATGGATCAAGGACATTTTGAACTTTGCTTCATTGGAAACCATACGAAATAAAGAAATCTGGCCATATAACTGAGGGCTTTGTCTTACTTCGTAGACACTTTTCTCACTTCCCATTGGCTTCCTTTCAAAGGACACACTCGAGAAAAAGAATTCACCTCTGTGTTTTTGTGTCTTTGTGTTGGTCTTTCTATCTCTCCTTCTTTCCATGCAAAATCATCATTGAAATCTGCTATTAGAGTCCACTCGTTGCTTATCCCTGCGATAGGTATGATGATGATGAAAACAAAAGGTATTTTATGTCCTGCTAAAAGTTAATTTTTCTGTAAACTGTTCCCACATTCATCACACAGGTACAGTTGAGTACCAGATGTTTTTTGAGCTCAGGTGTAAATGAACCAAGAGTCCCTTTCTATAGGTGCCTCCATAGCTTCTAAGCTTGCTCCTTATGCAGTTTTGGACACACATTTTGGAAATGCAGTTTTGGACACAGGCCATACGGGATTTTTTTCCTGCAGAACTCATAAGTGCCTTTTAGCAATTGTCCAGAATCTGAGCAGAAGTTGCCTGCTTGATGCCTCTCCCAAGAGGCATGTGAATGACATTTCACATCATTACGTGCTGTGAAGGGGCTGAGCCAGAGGCTGGCGTAGGTTGTGGGGGTGTGTCAGGGTTTTGCGGCGTTCTGAGCAGAAGTTGCCTGCTTGATGCCTCTCCCCAAGAGGTGGCCCTATACATTTCACATCATTACGTGCTGTGAAGGGGCTGAGCCAGAGGCTGCTGTAGTTAGTGGGGATGTGTCAGGTTTTGCAGGCTTTGGGTATGGTTCTTGCAAGCTTGCCAGCTAGCAAGCTGTAAAAGAGGTATGGCAAAACTGAATTTGTGCGACGACAGGAAAACTCTCAGTGATTGTTGTAAATAATAGTTTTGCATTGGGAAACCAGAAGCAGCTGTTTGGGAGGTGATTCATAAAGAACCAGAGGGGTCAAAGTGGTTCATTAAAGGAATCCTCTCCCTTTTAATGCTGATCATAGGGTATGTAGTAAGGGATTTCCAAAAGTCCTTGGTCAATCGGATTTTTTCACTGGAAGTAATGGGAGCCCTTCCTTTTGAAGACAGAGGGAATAGTTGAGCCAGCACAGTGGCAGCCTTTGATAATTTATCTTGAGAGCACCCTTCCTCTCCTGATCTTAGAAATCAGTTGGGACCCCAGACTGTGAGGCAGATTTGGCCACAAGACTAATAGCTCTCCAACTGCCTTCACCATGTTACATATCTGCCCAACGGTAGTAGTCCTATATCAAAGACTGGTCTTATGGTGATGAATTTTAGAACCAAATTCTGTCTGTGAAAAGCCAGATACATCCCTTTCTAGATGAAGATTTCTTCTGAAACAGTATACAAAGGTCATTGGACTAGTTTGTTCTCAAAAATACCTGTTCTATCAGTATATCTTAGCAGATAGTAATGTTAACACCGAAGTTATGTTTGAAATGGCTTTACTTCTACTGTGTCCCTGTTTTGCCATCATAGAGCAGCGTGTGCAGATGCTAATCTGGACCCATAAGAGCTTGGAGCAGGTGAGGAGAGAGAAAGTGTACAGCCTTTAGCTATAAAATCAAGCTGGGTGAAATAAATCTTTACTTGCTAAGCAAACATATGCAAGTGCGTGCCATGAAACTAGTGATATCATTCCTGCATTTAACAGATTTAGGGGTCCCAGACCCAATCTGGCTTCTGCACAGCAGTACAGCTTTCCCTTGATATTTGCTATTAGTTGAACATTAATTGACCTGAGGTTCCCAGAATGTCCTTGAAATTGTGGCACAAGCAGGAATTGTAACGCTTCCAATTTCAATAGCCACCAAACTAAAAATGCTTTAGGTTACTGCCAGCATAAACTAATAGTCAGGAAAGGGGATATGCAGGCACATTGATGTTTTTTTACAGTGGAATGAGGACAACCCAAGTAAATCGAGCATAATTCATGTTAATGTCTGGCCAGGACACATGCCTGCCTGGCATACCAGATGCTCTGAGCACCCATCATGATCCTGATCAGAATGATGTTTTTATATGCATTACAGGGACAGCTGGAAATGGAGCAAATGCTTATAAACTACTTAGAGCTCCAAGAAGCCCTCTGGGATAGGCAGGGGGTCAGTAAATGTCATGCTTGCTCTGCATGCCTCTGCCAAAGTGGTGAGAGGGGTAAAAGGCTCTGGCTATGGGGCCAGGGCACCGTGGCAGCCGCTCGGCTACAAGGGGGAGCACAGCAGAGATGGAGCCTCCCACCTCCACGGCTCTAACAGCACTCAGCTCCCATTTCCCCTGTTATTTTTGGCAGCGCTGCAAAAAGAAGTCAGTAACGCCGCTGGAAACGGGAAGCAATGGGGCAGCTAAGAGGGCATCAGGGCAGCGAGCAAACTCCGTGCTTGCAGCCCAGCCCTGCTCAGTGGGGTCAGTGCTCCCACAGCAGAGATGGAGCCTCCCACCTCCACGGCTCTAACAGCACTCAGCTCCCATTTCCCCTGTTATTTTTGGCAGCGCTGCAAAAAGAAGTCAGTAACGCCGCTGGAAACGGGAAGCAATGGGGCAGCTAAGAGGGCATCAGGGCAGCGAGCAAACTCCGTGCTTGCAGCCCAGCCCTGCTCAGTGGGGTCAGTGCTCCCATGCCAGGGGGAGGTCCCACTTGCTTATTTAAAATACCCTTTTCTTTTCCTCTGGTGGAGCTATGGGGCTGAAATGAAGTCAGTTCTCTTTTAATTTTCCTCTAGTGTAAAAGCCAAATGAATTCTATCCAATGGAGCCATTCCAGATTTGTACGTGTAAATCTGAGTGGAGATGTCACAGAAATTCTCCACACATGCAAAGCTTCCGCATCTGGAAAAAAACTATTATTTGTTTGTCTTATAAACCACAGGTTTTCCAGTATTAAGGTTCCGGTGGCTTCTCATCTTCCTCAGAGCTTTTTAACCCTAACTACAAAAGAAATCAAGAAAGCCATAGGCCATCTACATTTTAAAGAGATGATAGCAATGTCCTGGGAAGCAAAATGTCCCTGTTCTCTCCTGTTTTATTTTCATAATCTGCAGAAATCATGAAATTAAACCCAGCAACGCTGAGTAGTACTAATAGAACAGCATGCTGGCAGAATTAAGGATCAGCATTTCTGATCACAGCTTTGCCTTCAACTTTTGTTTTCTGACGTACGTAGTTATTTCAAAAGATACTTAGGTTAGTGAAATAGAATTGAGCACAATATTAAGTCTTCTTCCATTTGAGGGATGAGTATTCTCTGGTGGGGAGTGCCATGGGAGCAGCCATCAGAGGTAAGGTTGGACCTCGTATGGGATGCGCGTTAACTTGGAAAGAGCCAGGGAGACCGGGAAGCATTAAGTCCAGTGAGAGAGTCCATCTGTATTACATCATCACTTGTTTCTTTGGTTGTCCTCCTCCTCAGCAAATAGCCATCGCCCGGGAGGGTGACTTGCTAACCAAGGAGCGGTTATGCTGTGGGCTGTCCATGTTCGAGGTGATCCTGACACGAATTAGGAGCTACCTGCAGGACCCGATCTGGCGCGGGCCACCCCCAACGAATGGGGTCATGCATGTGGACGAGTGCGTGGAGTTTCACCGGCTGTGGAGTGCCATGCAGTTTGTGTACTGCATCCCCGTGGGCACCAACGAGTTCACTGCAGAGTGAGTGTCCGTCAGCCGGCTATGCCGTTAGCGCTGCCCGTGAGCTAGCAGGGCTGGCAAGTCCCTGAGATGCCCTCAGCTGCAGCGATAGCCTCAGCCAGTGTAGAGGTAGAGGGGGAACGTGAGTCCTTGATGGAAGGACTTTGTTGTGCATGGACATAAAGAGATGCCCAGAGAGCTTTCTGTGTGAACAGCTGGGGAAAAGAGCAACGTAAAGTGACATGCCCAAGGTGACATGCAGAAGGAGATAGGTAGATGGGCCAGCAACCCAAGTCAGAGGATAGGTCCTCATCCATCTTATCCTGTGATGCACCCTGCACAACCTGGCCCTGGTGTAATTCTGCATATTTACTTTTGAGTGCATTTTATCTAGGTGTATACCCACTTTCTAGGAGTAGGACTGAATCTGATTTCACTAGGAATTCACCAAAGAAAGTGCCATGGTAGGACTTCTCTTATCTAACTCTATCTGTCATCTCTCCCTACCCCATCACCCTGTCCTCCTTCCAGGCAGTGCTTTGGAGATGGTCTGAACTGGGCAGGTTGCTCTATCATTGTTCTCCTTGGACAGCAACGGCGCTTTGACCTCTTTGACTTCTGCTACCACCTATTGAAGGTGCAGAGGCAGGATGGAAAGGATGAAATCATAAAAAATGTGGTAAGTTGAAGGGTGAGGTCCTAAAGCACCTGAACCAGAACACTTCTCTCTCTGTTTTCTATGTTGCTTTGTCCAAACTCATAAATTACAACCATGCCCGGTGTTAACCTTATTCAAACTGGACACACTTGCTGTGAGATTTCCATCTGCAGTCTCAGCAGAGAGGCCAAGGTTTTAATTGGCTTGACAGTCAAATATTTTTTCTCCCAAAGCTTTTCCCTTCTTCCTGGGGTTGGGAAACTGGAGCAGAGAAGCTGGTATTTCCAGCAACCATCCTTTGATCTCAGTGGCTTTATCAATAAGCAGTTGGGAGTCTAGACTTTAGATCAGTTAACTTAGGACCACTCACTGACCTTGTTAATGCTCCTTCTTGAGTCATCAAACCTTATAATGAAGTGAGTCACCGGTCCCTGGGAGGTGCTAAGTGGAACTGTAATACATATTGTAGCTGCTTCACTTTAGCAGAGGCTTCTCAGGAGCAGGGCAGAGGTACTGGTACTTTCTAGCTGGTCAGATGACATAAGACTGTCTTCATCTGCTGTTTTTCTCCCTCACCATCCCTCCAGCCCTTGAAGAAGATGGCCGACAGGATCAGGAAGTATCAGATCCTGAACAATGAGATTTTTGCCATCCTGAACAAGTACATGAAGTCGGTGGAAACAGACAGTTCCACGGTGGAGCACGTGCGCTGCTTCCAGCCCCCAATCCACCAGTCTCTGGCCACCACCTGCTAGTGCGGACACTGACCCCGCGCGGGTCGGGAAGGGAGAAGAGACTGAACCCAGAACAGCTGGGAGGGGTAAACTCAACGGCATGAGACCTGGCAACGAAGTAAGACTGGGTACGCTTACCACACACGAGGACGCATCTTCCCATCCGGCCCTGTTTGAGTGCATGTTCTTCTGTACCATCCCTGTGATCGGTTTTACGTGTAGCTTTCAGACTTGGGGGTGGGTGGGGGCGGGTGGGCAAAGTGTGCTTTTCTTCCATGAAGTGGTCCCGTTTTTCCCTGTGAATCATCCAGTTGAACACATCACTCTGAAGCCATATTGCAGCCCCAAACGCGGGGGGGTCCTGGTAGAAGAGCTCTGTGCTTCCGCAGCGCCGGGAGCCCGCTCCCACTGCAGAAGCAACGGGGCAAATCAACACCCCAGTGACACGTGCCAGCAGCCATGGAGCAGGAGGGTCTGAAGACAAGACCCTGATTCACTCTTTGGGGGGGGAAAAGGGATGAGGGCAGGATGTCACCTGTGGCAGCACCCTGAGGATCAAGTGATGGGCACAGAGGAGCCATGACGGGCTGGTCTTGGATGGCTGCATGCCCCAGGCTGCGGCTAGCTTCGTGCTCTCTGCCGAGCCGTTGGCCTTTCTAGCATCTTTTACAGGGAGCTTTGGCACGAGGGTTTCAGAATAGCAATGATGTAGTCGCCAAATAACTCCTCAGCACTTCAGAGAGATGGGGAAAGAGAAAACAGCTTGGCTTTTTCCCTGCTGTGGGACATCCACTTATTTTAATGCAAAGGGTTCTCCCCCGAAGACGCATCTTCCATGGACTAAGCAAGACTTCTTACGGACTACAGAAGAGGCTGCATTCATGTGAATGTGCTCTTGGACATATTAATTTGGGTGGAAATAACCCCTGATCCTGACAGGAGACAGGTGTAGTTACCGCGAACATACATGATCTTTGATGTTCACCAAGGATGAGAGCTGGGATGTGTAATTGTGTATGTTCTGGGATGCTATTTTCCCTTGTTTGAGACAAATTCCTAGTGGCACAGTGACCAAATATCTTTCTTCAGAGAATGGTGACTATCAGCAGGGCTAAGGAAACTTCCCATCACTCAGATTGTTTAGAAGAGGTAAAATACAGGATAAGCATTAAAAAATACCCAGAATTTTCCAGGTTTAAAGGCATTCAGAGGAAACACTGGAGTCTTGTTTCCTTTTCCCACTCAGCTAATCTAAGAGCCCTGGATATTGAGAACAAATTCAGTAGGAACTTCAAGGAGGATTTCATAACTCATGATCTTCCCTGCTTCCCTTCAGTAGTGTCACTGAAGTGGCTTGAAGTTAAAAGGAGATCAAACCACATGCTTCAAGAGAAAATGAAGCTAGCCTCACCAGTGGCAATATTTTAATTTCTCAGCTTTAGCCAGGTCACAGCAGATAATTGCTGTTACAGTATACAGATGTGATAACACATATTCCTTTCATGCATTTCATCATGGCTTGTAAACTGCATGCTATTACAGATGTTAAAAAGGCAGAGCCTGGGCATTTATTCTCTCAGAGGGAACATATAATTAATTAGTAGAAATGTCCCAGCTGGAATATTTTGTCTTAGGAAACACCACACTACTATTGGCAAGAGGAGATCTTGGTGGGTGGGCTGAATTTGTTCTCCCAGACACTCACCACCTACTCCCTTGATAACCAATAAATACTCCACATGTGAAAAGCACCGGACATTTTCACAACTTGAGTTTCCTTTAATTACTGAGACAGACATTGAAACTGCAGGGAGGAAGTTGTGCGGCACAGTAATCTGAAAGTAAAATGAAATCTCAGGAAGTCTGGCTGAAACCTCTGAGTGGCGGGGAAGGACCCAGCCCGGCAAGGCGAGTTGTTTCCCGTGTCGTGAGAAAGAGCAGCAGCAGAAGCATTTGGGACTCGGTGACACTGCAGGGCTCTTGCTCTCTATTTACTTTTCCACTAAGGATGTCGGTTCTGGTTTTCCATCGTGTTCCAACACTTCTAGTCTACTGGAGTGAGGGTATCTACAGATATATATTTTTAAAAGGAAGAGGAGAATCAAGCACTTTATTTTTTGTGGAAAACAAGATACAAGGAAAATAGATCCAACCAAGATCCTATTTTTCCTGACCTAAATAGTAAGTGCTTGTTATTTTGGTATGAAAGTGTTGCTGAAAAGGTGGCAGAAGTCCCGGTCTGGCTCTCAGAGCCACCTCTGGGCACAGCACAAATTAAATGTCCTACTGTATCTGGCATGTTATGGGATGTTGGAGCCTTCTCAGAAACCAGCATGAGCAAGAAGTTACTACGGAAGGATGAACTGTACCACACGGCCCAGTCTCAGCTACCTAGACAAAATAGGATATAGTAAGGTGAATTTAAATGCCTGTTTTCATCTGTTTAGTTCTGGAGTGAGTCATGAGATATTTTACTGAAACATGAGTATCACTTTGCATTCTTTTGCTGTAGTTTTGCCATAATAATTCTCTGAAACCCTGCAAAACACAGTTGTGTGTACTTGAAAGAACAGGTAGATGAAATCTATTTGTTGCCCTCAGATTTGCTGGCAAAACCACAAAATCCCTTCAGATTCCGAGGGCTGAAATGTTTTGAGCAAAATGTCCAAAGTGCATGAACAAAATGTGAAGTGTTTTTGACTGTAGAGTGTATGCAGATGTTTTGCCTTGTTGCTCAAGTAGTATGAGATATCAGCTAGGAATAATCTTATGGTCTTCATTTCTGAGATTTGATGTTATTGTCCTTTTATTATCTAAAGGATGCAAATAGTCTTTAGCTTCGGTTCTGTAACCCTCCTTGATTGTATATGAGAAAGAGGTCCAGGCTTAGGTCTTTAAAGAACCCCATGAAAATGGAATTTTTTCCTCCTATCGTTTTTTTAATGTTATAATTGTTAATGGGAATAGGAAGCAAATTTCTAACAGTAGGGCTAAATAGTAACAGATTGCCACAGGGTTGGGCATATTCTCGACACTTGCAGACTCTGTGCCAAGTCTGGGTGTCTTCCTTGGAAATATGCTCTAATCCTATAGTTTTCAGCCTTTTACAATCCGCAGACCCCTAATTTTTTTTTTTCCTAGGAAAACGCAGACCCCTGTCTGGATACTTTAAGTCCACTGACTATGGGCTTACTTTTTTACCTACATTTTCCTGCTTACTCTGAAGTAGTCTGCAAACTCCCCAGGATTAACCAACCACCACTTGGAACGTCTACTTCAAAGACAAGTTGTTGGCTCGATACAGGAATTACGGGGGGGGGAGAAAGGATGGCCTGTGTCATGAATGAAGTCAGACAAGGTTATTTTAATGTTCCCTCTGGCTTTGCTATCGTAAAATGTGACTGTTGGCAGTGCACATGCCTTTCTTGGATGATGCTACACTTGACTTTCAGAGATACAATAGAAAGGGGAAGCAAACTAGTTCAAGCTCAGCACTTCAATGGTTTTCCTTTTAAACTCTGACAGCACTTATTAGCATCGAACAACATGTTAGTCCTTTTTCTCCTGCATTACTCCAGTCCAGTAGGTTCATGTGTGTTTGAGAACAAAAGAAAAATGAAGGTGTAAAAAAACCAAGAAAATATTCTCAAAAACTCTTGTCAAATGTACCATATTTGTATGAAAAGCTGCTTGAGTTATTTTGTACAATGAATTTTATTTATGGTGAGGTATATTTACGCTCGTGATCTGATAACGGTGTTAAATTTTTGATCCATATTTGCTATGCAGCTGAAGATGATATTTTGGGTTTGTATTTTTATTTTTTTTTTGCTGTTGTTCTAAAATTCAGCTAACAGAAGCTTCCATCTCCATTAGAAATGCTTCTGCAAGAGTAAAGCATCTGGTACATGGTGATATGTCCCGTAACACAGCAACCAACAGTGTGTACAACAAATGTGGGATGACTTTTGTGATGAAGAGAAATAAAAATTGGGCTCATTCATGAAATGGGCAGACTTTACCTTGTGGTGTCATCATCGTTGTGATAACTATTATTTGGGGAGAGCCTTTGATTGCACTTGATACCAAAAAAAAAAAAAGCTAAGAGGAATAATGGCAGCATTTTGTTGACAACAGCATCGAGCTTTTTTCAAAACCAAAGAAAAAAATGAAATTTTGTGGCCAACACCAAAAGAAGCAAACAAATTTTCCTACAAAAAAGTTGATGATTTTTGAAAAAAAAAACATCCTTCCACAACAAATTTTCATTTGAAAACTTGTTTTAGTATAAGAGGGCTGGGGGAGGGAAAATTATATAATTATTTTTAATAGAATTTGACAGGTCCCACTCAAAACAAAGCTAAACTGAGGAGTTAATTTCCTCTCATTACCACAGCCTTGTCAACTCAATGGGGCCTTTTTATTCCAGGAGATTCTCCTTGCTATTTTTTTCTAAATTTCCACTTGAAACCATTCTTAGGTTTGTGTTAAAAGTATCTGAGGAGCAGAGCAGTGGGAACCGGGGGGAACAGACCTTCTCGGAGCTAAGGAATTAGGGTGAAACAACTGACATGGATCTATGGGAGTGGGAGCACCTATGCTTCATCAGCTCTAGACAAAACATTGTAACTGAGGTTCCCTTTCGTAGCTTCTTCCCAAGGCTTCCTCATGGGAACAGCTTCCTAGCTTAAGAGGAATAAAAATGCAATGATTCTTCACATAAAATTGGAAGTGGACTTTACACCGTGACCAGGCAGCCCTGTTGATCCTTCTGATGTGGTTTAAGTCATGGGGCACATGATGTGCCTGCAGCTGTGTGCGTAACATGCTGCCGTGGAGGATTATTTGCCTGATGGTTGAAAGTTGCCCAATGTTTACTGATTTCAACACGGTTCTGCAGCGGGGAATATCAGAGAAGAGGACTTTCCTCCTGACTCAGCCACTGATACTAGGCAGGTTGTTTGGTTTTCATACTTTCCTGCATCAATATTTTTTTTTTCTTCTTTTTTTCTTAAGTTAAT